TGAAGACTCCTATGATTACCTAACAACAAACTCTACTTTTTAAAATGCATACATGTACACTTCACCTGGATTAAAGGCATCACAATTTTCATCAAATTGTCATAGGCACCTTGCTAGAGCTTCTGTAGCAATACCCTCTATTCTCTCCTACATTCCACTACAGTTTCCTTTTGCTCCTGAAGAACAAAACTGCAGTTCTTAAGATTCATGTAATACTAAGGGGTTGCTGTGTGCATTAATATCTGGATTACTGCTATAATTGCCAACTCAAAATGTCAGGAATCCAGAAAATAAAGCTTTTTATTATAACACACATGCAGAAAAGTACATAAATCAAAGGTGTGCATTTTGTCAACATTTTTAATGTGGGAATTTAAATTGTTAACAAGCGTATAATATATGCCACTAGGAGGGGAAGATCATAAATGATCTAGACCAAGGAACTAAAGATCTGGCTGTATTCACAGGCTTGCTCTTCTCTGCACCCTTAAGGACACCCAAGTGTCTTGTTTCATGCTGCTCATAGGATAGGGTAGCACAGCTAACCTCAAGATGGCTTAGAAAGATGCTTCAGTATATAAAGGAGCTTAAATACATGTATAATTGTCTAGACTGAAGTTGATTTAAAAGTTGGAACTCATAAACATGGCAGATAACCTTGGGTCAATAAAACTTTCACAAAACATGCAAGGCAGACTCATTTATGTATTCACTAGACAGACAGTCCATCCATCTTTACAGGAACAATGCACAATGTACAAAAACCCCAGTTATTATTATCCATCACTTCCTTAACAGGAGGACTTTGAGTTTGTTTTTTCCTTTTTTAAGGAAAAAAAGTTTTTTCTCTATTGACTGTGACGTTTTATTTCCTCACCTGCTGATCTCAAAACTGTATGTTTGTAAGTTGTAAATTGAAGATTTAAACCATATCAATTGTTTAAAACAATTCTACACAATGCACTTACCTTTGCTCCCACACACTTCCATTGTATGATTACATCAAGGTCCACGTCTCCGCTACTATCTGACCCTTGTTCACTTTCTTCCCTCCCCTCCACCCACCAAACTTTGCCCTTCCTGCCAAAGTTCAGCACTTCCTAGAAAAGTCTCACTGCCTGTTTGATATTGTACTTTACTTTAGTCACCAAAGGAAGAATTTACAGGTGCTTGGCCCCATCTATAAGACCATGACCGAAATCTGACCTCCTGTTACAATACATGAACTTCTGCCCTACTGATAAGGCTGGCAGATATAAGTAGGATTTTTCAAATAATCCTTTGGGAATTTATAAGCAGCACGGCCATAAAGGGGGGTGAATGGAAGGTCGGTTTCACTAAAAATAATAAATATTGCCATGTTTATTCAAAGTGTGCCTTGTTATGCTCCAGGCCAAAAGTTCAGATAAACACTATTGTAAATGACAAAATATTAGAACTTTTTGTTACTTGTGTTATGATCCTTCCGTTGAACACCAATAGAACTGTTTTTCCCTATATAAAGCCCTGACACTGAATAGCACGTCCTGAGATGAGAATATTGGATTTGTTTGAAGGTCAAAAGAAGGGTGGTTATCCTTTACAATAAAAAGCCAAATACTATTATATAGTACTAATAATAAGTGATAAAGCAAAAAAAAAAAACCCACCAGATTGAATAAACATTATACCTGCCTGAAAAAGGACTTCCCATTTATTGATGAAGAATAATACCTTATTATGATGGTCAATGCAATAACCATAGAGACACATGTGGGGCCCTTTGCCCTATACAAATGTGGAGAACAGATTCACTGAGCTCAGTCTCCAATACTAGGAAAATTTGCTGAATGACAGGTATAAAATAGTAAGAGTCAAGAAATTAAAATAAAAGAGAATGAAAAGAGAAAGGCAATGAAATGGGAGTGATGATTGAGGTAGAAGGACTACCATGCAGAAAGGATGATAGCCACAGCATGCATCAGAATTTGAAAGCAAGGTGGTAAGCAGCAAGAAATGTGAAAGACCTCTAAAGAGTTATGGGCTGTGATTCCTTCAATATTTCTGTGTCTTATACGATAGATGGCCTGTGAGATTAAGTAGATGGCAGAAATTAAGTGTTTGAGATCAAGGGTAGAGGGAATACTCAAAGTGACTGCTTTCACTAACTATGATAAGTGAATGGAGGTAATGGCCTTATGATGGGGTGGGAGGAAATTAAGATAAAGTTCAATTTATTCACAAAATCTACAGGTCTAGATATGCTACTAAGGAAAGACCAAGAGTATGGTAATTAAAACAATCTTTTTATGGCTTCTAGAACACTGAAATTTTAGGAGTCTACATCAAGAGACACATCAAGACACTAAGTTTCTACTACCTGTGGAGTCTCCATAAGATTGAGTGCAGTGGGTTTCCTTGTTTGCTTGTTGCTGTTGTAGGGAAGACTAAACCCCAATCCTCAAACAATGCTAATCACATCCTCTACCAATGAGCCCATGCCCAGTGCCAGCATATATACCTTTTAACAGGAACAAAAAACAGAGTAGAGGCACAGGTAGAACCCTGGGAATGGTGAAGGACACAAAGAAGATAAGCCAACAAACACCAAAGTAGGCAGCAATATCAGAAAGGCCAGCAGAGAGGAAGAAAACCATCATGTATAGAAAGAAAATGAGATTAACAGATGAGAGGTAAAAATGATCAGTAAAGTCAAAGTCCTGTAAGATACACACTCAGAGAGTAGTAAGAAGGAAGAAAAGCACTTTGGATTGATCAGAATGAAGAAATTAAGACAATATTGGAATGGAAAGAACTAATACTATATAGTTTATGTTCTTAGTCTCCATTCTTCAGTTTGCAAATCCTTTTTTTCTTAAGGCCTAAGATTAATGTTAACTATATTAGAAAATGAGATCATTATAATAAATATGTTGAGCAACATTTTTAAATATTCTTGTTAATACTGTGAGGAGCTGCAATTTATCATGAAGTGATATGCACAGCTGACTTGAACACAGCTTTACATAGTGACAAGATTACAGCCTCAGCTCTATGAATCACCACCAGGTTGCATGTGCTTCACCATCCTTTAACAAAACTGGTCTTGGATTTTACTCAGAGTCACCATAAGTCTAAAAGAGGAGTGTCTAAATTATAAACATATATTTCAAAACACAATGAGTGTTTATCAGCTGTGAATTTCAAAATCATAGCAACACTGCCAATGGTCTCAACACCTGCACAGGCCAGGAAACAGTTCCTTAGACATTGTTACAGAAAATCTGTGCATATCAAATATGTCACCATTTCAAATACTAATTCGTAGAATCCTATTCCAATTAGACAGCTTTGTAATTTGATCATTTCTAAACCAGTGGACTCTAGTTCTCATAAGTTAAGCCTGTATGTTCCTTTTTAATTAAGAAATACATTTTAATTGTCTATTTGTTTGTTAATAAGAGTCTAGACCTCCTATACACGTCTGTACTTCATAGTGTATGCTTGTGAAAATATTAGTGCTGTATCTATACATCAGCACCTGAAATAACATCATCTAACCAGACAACTACTATTTATTAAATGGCAATCATTCGCCAAGGACTGAGTGGACATAATTTTACTGTCACTAACTAAAATAAGCAGGAAATTATCATCCCATTTCATACATGAGTGTACTAGACCACCCTAACACACACAGCTACAAAATGTAATAAATGATTTTAGTACACTGTTAGAATTCCCACTTGAGGCAAATTTGTTCTGTTTTCATAAAAACATAACAAAGCTTATAAAAGGCAGCACACAGTGGTAAAACAGTGCTGCCATGTTAGCGTCATCCCAAGAATGCACTTCTATGCTGGCACACTGCAAGCATTAAAAGCACAAACCCTCACTTACCTAGATATCCACACATATCCCAATCTACTTCATACAGAAGAGACATTAAATGAGTAATAAAAACTGTATGCTGATAACAACATCTCCATCAGCACAGTGTCAATGATAAAAAAAAAAAAAAAAAAAAAAACCTAAAGGTAATGCAAGGGAATATCGTTATCTTGGAACAGGATAACTTTAAAACTGATGGACCTGCTTACCTAAAAATTAAAGACTTCCATTTCTAGAAACATAAACAAAAGGCTGCAGTACAGAGACAAACTGGAGGGATGTTTACAATACCCTAAACTGTCAATATCAACTACATAGAAGGAATTTCTGAAATTTCTTTCCAAGAAAAAAAAAAGAAACCTAAAATAAAATACTAGTCAAGGTTTAGAATGATGTATGAAATAGTTAATGAGTCTATTAAAAAAAGCACAATTTTATACCAGCAGTCAAAGAAATTCACATGTACAAACACTGTACAGACATACCAGGCTCTGTTCACCAGTACTTCTGCACACAGGCAGATGGCCACAGTAGGGAAACAGCCAATTCCTAGGACTCGATTAATACCACAGTAATTCCCTTTTGGAAAATTTCTTTTAATAGTGCTTTTATAGAACAAAAAGGTATTGTCAAAAAATGCTTTCCATAAATACTTTAATGTTTAAAAAGCAAGTTATTCTAGATATATTAGAAACAGAGAAATTTGATTACATGTAACTATCCTACTCTTTTTGTTTTGTTTTGTTTTTGTTTTTTGTTTTTCGAGACAGGGCTTCTCCATGTAACAGCTTTGGCTGTACTAGAACTCGTTCTGTAGTCCAGGCTGGCCTTGAACTCACAGAGATCCATCTGCCTCTGCCTCTGAGTGCTGTGATTAAAGGTGTGTGGCACCACTGCCTGGCTAACTATCCTCCTACATATAACCAATCATACACTGATAGCTGTTTGAGCTGTCATCAGCTATATATCATTTTACAAGGCAAATATAAACAAGATTCAAGCAAGAGAAGAAGGAATTATATAATACTCATTAAACAAAATTTTGCTTAAAAACAATTGAAAAAATAATAATAAATCAGAATTTGGGATTGAATACATATCTGTATTAGGAAGGTCAAATAAAGACTCACCAGAACAGAATATATGTGCAGACACCGATATACAGGAGAGAAATCCACCAAGTCTTGAGCCCCAGGTACCTAGAAGCATACAATCACAAAAATATCAAATAAAATTATTATCGGAAAAGCTGCATTAACTTTACTTTTACTACTGAAACAGTGATTTGTTTTCAAAGTCACTACTACATTCTGTGAGGAAAATTCAAAACAAACAAAAGCAAAATGTTCTTAGGTTGCAGAGATGGGTCAATGCTTGCTGTTCTTTCAGAGGACCTGAGTTGAGTTCCCAGAACCACACAATGTAACTCACAACCACTGTAACTCCAGTTCTAGGGGATCCAACACCCTCTTCTGGCTTCCATGAGTACCCACATACATGTGGCATACACAGAGAGAGACACACATACATATACATAAAAAAATAAACCTCAAACAGTCACATTCCCAAGCAAGATACATATCTGTAATGTAATCCTAGAACTGGGGAGACAGGAGCATCAAGAGTTCAAGGTCATCTTCAGGTACATGAAATTCTGTCTCAAAAATGAGAGAGATTGGGGGGCAGAGGTAGAGACAGACAGACAGAGAGAGAGAGAGAGAGAGAGAGAGAGAGAGATTAGTTTTTATTCTAGTCACAAGCTGTGTTGACAAGTGGCACAGTTTCACAGAAAAGAGAAGAGAAACTGCTTTCTCTATATCCCAAGACACTGAGCCTAGGGACACCAGGGAAAGTGTAAAGATTGGGCTGTGACTTTGGTGACCCAAGTGTCACCTTATTAAATGCACAGAGTTTACATAAAAGCCAAGTTTCATTGGTCAAAGCCAAACGTGCTACCCAAGACAACTTTTTAATGGCCAGACAATTAGTAAAGGGCATTAAGTATCAAAACGCTTAAGTATTTTTCAACAAAATACAGAAGTGATACAAAAAGGAGGGTGCACTGTATTAAAAATGAGATAACAAGAAGTTACTCAACAGTCTTTAAAGTAAATAATGAATGATATATTGACTAAACAAATTTCAAAATTTTTTAAAAAGTAAAGATCAGGTAAGAACTAAAATCAATTCTTAGAACTAATAAGAATTTGTCAGGTGACTTGACAAGGAGGAAGTCAGAATGAACTTTGATCTAAATGTTCTCAATTGAGAAAGGAAACTATCATTTGTCATACACAAATTCAACATGAATAAAAACGAACCTGAAAATACATGTTACACAAAATGAAACAAAAAGAAGAAAAGTACATAAGTAATTACAATACAGATCTAGCTGGTTTTTCCTGTCAAAATGGAAACTATGTAAATCACCAGCCAAAAACAGCTGACTCATGGTTACAGTGCTGCCTCCCTTGCTTTCATAAACCAAATACTGTCTCTTCTTCCAGGCACATCTTCTCTAACCAGGACTCTTCTCATGGTGAAAATGGTCTTTGTTCTACAGACCACATTGTACTGCACCCTGGCTGGAATCACCTGGCACTCTACCTTTTGCTCTGCTCCACCAGGCCCTTTGTAGGTCTCCATATTTAAGCTCTAAGAGTGCCGAGGTCTCTTCAAGTAAAATAGCTGCTATGGGAGCCAAAAGACTCTGTGCCATGGGGGTCTCTTATTTCAAGTGACCAGTCACCTCCATATGATGACAGCATGGAAACTTTAAGGAAATTATCTTGCCAGAAAACAAGAGCTTAAAGCCATATAAAACAACATAAAAAATTTAAAGATTTATAATAGTACTTAAATTACATAAAAACAGTGAGTACATATGAAAGAAAGACAAAGGAAATATGCAGAGTAAAAATGGATCTATATAGGAAATGAAAATATTTATTTAGAATAACTGTGGTTACTTATGATATATATGCCTAATTTTGACCAGCAAATTCAGCCACAGCCTTTTTCACAGGTTCCTCATGTAGTCTGTTTATTTAGGTTCACTTTGTCACACATCCAGTTTCTCTCAAAAAGGAAACCACTGGAAGTCATTCCTCAGGCAGAACCTTGGCCCATGGACTTGTCAGAGCCATCCTTACAGAATAAACAGCAATAGTAAGGGACATTTCCCTAAAGAGCTGGGATAAATAAGCTTATAGGCCCTTTAGATAATAGGAAAGGCATTTTGTTGCTAATTGATTAGGATTGATCTATCTCTACTAACATTTTTAAAAGGAATATCTTGAAAGGTGATATAGCTTTTTCCTGTCATTGACATCGTCTGTCTTCTGACTGTTTACAGTGTTCTCATATATAGGTATTCTACTATTCCTGGCCCCAAACCTATAGATAAATTCTCCAGAATCAAGTATAAAACTATCCACTTTTAAAGCACCACAGAGAGCTAGGCAAAATGTAAAGGGACAAAAAGAGGCTGCAGCTCACTGACTCTCTCCCTCCACAAACAGCCCAATATTTAGAAATCCCTTTTCCTCCCTGCTCCCCTCTGACAGCACACTAGGAGTGAGCACAGTGAGAAAGCAGAGAGTGCTGTGAGGATAGAGGCATGACAAGTATGCACTGACTCATGTTGCTTTGAGCTGGATGTGTTTTCTCTGCTTCTACTAATGAAAAAGAATCACTTACATCTACAGAAGGCAAGAGGGGAAGAGCAACAAGCACTGCATGAAGGAATGTCACCCTTCTGCAAGATGGAATGTAGGAGGGCTCTGGAACAAAAGCTGCTGCCGTGGTACTAACTGGCAGCAACCTGTCTGCTTTAAGGTGCACATTCTGCTCTCCAGTCTGCACTGGCAGTGCAGGCTTCATATTTTCTACCCCTCCTTTCCTCCCTTGCCTTCAAATTGCAAAGAATGATTGAAGCAGACTTAGGTTTCATCAAGGAGGGGTCCAAAGACACTTTCCTAAGCTAACAATGACTGTCTCTAATGGTTTCTGTCTCCTAACAAAAGCCATGACTCTTATCAGCTTCATCTAATTTTTCCTTTCCAAAGTAAATAGCACAGCCCTTGCATTATACACATGTCCAAATTTGACAAATCATTATCCACAGAGACTGGAACTGATAAGAGATAACTTTGTGGTGGGACACTGTCATTTCCTCTTACAAGGGCTTTCTTTGGGGCTACAACAACATGATTAAAATAGTTAAACATTTCCTTTGCCTGGCAGTCAGGAACTCGAGACATTAAGACCCTGGAGTCTGTATTTTCCAACAAGTTCAAATAGACCTAGGAAGACACCAGCAGTGACCACAAACAGTACACAGGACATGACCCTGCTTTGTCTCTAATGTTAAGAAATCATATGAAATCACTTCATCACCAAGGACAGCAACTGCCTAATTGCCTGCACAGTTCCAAGAGCAAAGTGAATGCCTCCCACCAGCCAAAAGCTCAGCATTTTCTCAAGAAGCAATAGTTAGTAAGCAATAGTAAGATTTTAGATGGTACAACTATACAATTTACGCCTCCAGAGAACATCATCTAAGGTAAGAAACACAGCGTTTTTTTTGTTGTTGTTTTTTTTTTTAACAAAACAAACTAAAAGGGATATTAGAGTAACTGAAGCACAATACAGAAGTAGAGAGGGAGGCAACTGCTGCAAAGACAGTAACAGTTTCAGCCAAGCCAATGATTTCCAACTTGCATCTATAGGATATTTATTCAGTATCATTTACATATAATACATGCATCAGCAACTATCACACAAGCTACCCTCAGAGAACAAAATGACTCAAGGGCAGAAGAGAATACAGGTTAAGAAAAACATAGATAGGATTAATAACAACTGAAAATGATCTTGTATCTATGTAGACACCATTTCTTGAAGAAAAATGGAAGATTTAGGGTACTCATAGATTATTTCACAGTTAGGAAGAAAAGAACTAATATTTCTGATCATGAAAATTTTTGAGAAATATCAGGATCTGGTTTATATGTGATCTTTCCCTTATTTAATATACCTTGCTTCAGGTAAAAGGTGGTCTCTGAAAATAGAAAATGAGTGATGAAAGTTCTTCTCCTCAATCATAAGAGGGACACTATTTTACATAAAAGAAAATTTCTGATTCAAAGCAAATGATGACACTCAATCTTCAACTGATACTAATCTTTACTTCTCCACAAAGAGTCAGACTGAGTCTACTTTCTGTTTTAAAAGACTCACTAAGGAAAACTAGGTAAAGCTGATGTCCTGGCATGCCTAAGAGACTCAAGCAGAAGGACCCTGAGTTTGAAACCAGCCTACACTTCCTCTCAAGACTTTGTCCAAAAAAGGAAATCTGCAAACAAACTTATCTAGCCTAATAAATGTTCCTTCTTTGTTGCTGGATAAGCATAATCTTACATGAGAGAAACTGAATACAAGAGAGAGTTAATTTCTTACAGGTACCCCAAAACAACAAAAGGACTATGATTCTCCTACCCTGCTCATAAACACAGAACATTACTCCAGCCTTGCTATTCACACATTTACACCAGAGGACAAACATACACAAAAACCTGCTCTCACTCACCTCTGTACACATTCCTCATTTATTTTCCTCTTAAGAAACCTTTCAAAATAGATGAAAAAATAGACTGAACAAAAATAATATGATAGAGGCTCGTAGGAATTTAGGTATGTTTCTCAATAATTATTTGAGCCATTTTCCACCATCAAAATCCTTCTGATTGCTGCTTCACACAAAGCAGTTTCTTGGTATTAGTAAATAAGTGCAGAAACTGGGGCTCATTTCTAAACATTAACTGGGTCTGAAGTCATTCAAATGTACCTTGCATTTTCTGCATGGAGTGAACAATAAATGATTAGCTAGAGAGACTTAGCTTCTGCATTCAGAGATTCAATTGAAGCTACCCATGTTATGTTTGGAAGCCAGGACATACCTGGCAGACATTTTTCACCAAGATGCTTTCTGAACCATTTTACCTTCACAAGTCCATTTGGATATAAGATCTCATGAAGACAGACTAAACACCATAGAATACCAACAAACTAGGTCTACTAGGATCCTTAGTAACCAGATGTATCATGATGCTCTAAGCTTTGACTAGAGCTCTATGCTGAAAAATTAGAATTTTCCTACAAAGATGCTCTCAAATTGTTAGGACCCATTATGAGAAAT